GTCTTTTGTAGCTCAGTGATGCTAACTGGAGAGCAACTTTCTGTCCATATCTTCAGCCTATAATCTGTGGGTCAAACAAATGTTTGGCTTCCAACAATAGAGACCATCAAAACACAAACTATAACTTTAATAATTAGCTGCTAAGGAGAAAGTCTAATTTACATTTAAATGAAAATAAACCTGCTCCCTGAGCTAATGCTCATATTTTAAGCTACAAACATCAAACCACATTTTAATCAGCCGTCTGATTTGACAGCTGGTAATTTGGCTAATTGACCCAAACACTTTTTTTTTTTATTGTTAAATGTAAAAGTGCCTTTTTAGTTTAAGTGCAGCAGACTTCAGAATCAGGTGCTACAGACAGACTCACAACTCAGTTTGGCAGTTTCTAAAGCAGAGTGTGTTCCTGTTGACTCACTATAGAACCTGCTACTCCATTTAAGAGCAAAACAGGCCAGGGAAAAAGCTGAATACATCTTCTGGAGGCTGTAAAAGAGCTGCAGGGGAGTCAGATGAAAACATTTCTGTGGTCTAAAGCACCGAACCAGCACAGAGCGGAAGGCAAACGGTGAGGGTGGCAGTTGGGGGAAAACATGCTTATCTGACGTGTCCTTTTGGGTTCAAAATACCAAAAAGTGATTTCTAAAACACAAGTGAAACAAGTTAAATCTATTGGAAAGTCTGTTTTAGGCACAGACCTAGTGACTTTTTCCTTAAGGATTTAAGGCTTAGTTACCAGAATAAATAGGAAAATACAAAGGAATTGTGTCAGATTATTTTTGCCTCCACGATGGAGCAGCTTCTGGCTGCAGCCTGTAGGAGCCTCGGCTGGATATCCAACTCCTCCCACGTCCAAGTCGGCCATTTTGATTAGGTCATGTGACTAGCAACTCTCTGAGGTAGAAACAAAACTTTACTGTCTATACGAAATCAGAAGATAAACGATGTCCTACCATAACCCTAACCCTCCACCCTAACCCCTTAACCCTAACCCCTAACCCTAACCCTTCATAATTGTGAGAAATAAATATTTTTTGGTTAAACTTGTTTGGACTTATTGTACAAACCTATTTAACATCCACTATTTAATTCAGTGTTTGCAAGATTAATTTCACTATTTTTAAATGAATGTCTATATTGCCATAAAGCAATTACCATTTTCTTGCCTGTGATCTTCCTGTTGGTGACCTAATCAAAATGGCCGACTTGGCTTCCTGCAGCCAGACGGACTTGTGACGACTCTGTTTAAGTGTCTGAATCTGAACCTCTTTAGAGTCCCTTTAAAGCTCATTGGTCATCGGTGGAAAACAAAGCCCAGAACCTGAACCCGGTCCTGCTGTGTGTGTGGTACCTGCTACTGCTGTTCTATCATAAGCAAAGTAGTAAATAAAAATATATCTGTACATAGAAAAAGTTGTTTTATGTTTTTGTCTGTCCAGTCTGTCCAAAAGCTCCAGGTTTTAGCAGCAGGTTAAAAGCACTTTTCATCCTCACACAGAGCAGACTCGAGGTTTGTGGAGTGATCATCCTCAGAATGGGCATTATTTTAGAAATCTCAGATCTCTGAAACAAAAGAAACCATCCATTGAAAACTGAAGTTCTCTTCTGTCTCCATTTTGACCAACAGGAGAAAGAGGGGGGGGCAAAGTGGGCTCAAAACAATGACTTTGTTTCTCGTTTGCTTTTTCTAAATAAATAAATAAACCAATAAAAAGGTACAATGCAAGTTTTTTTTTCCATCCACATTTTTTGTCTGCATCTCTTTGAAAATGATGCCAACATTTTTACATAAATGATCATTTCTAGAATCGCAAATTTCAGCAAGCATCACAAACATGTGTCACTTCTTTAGCTACCAAGTCATTAAAGCCCAACAGTCAACAATTTGAGACAAGTTTCAGTTATTTTTGAGAAAAATCCATTTAGATATTTAGTCATGACAGCAAATCCTAGTTTAGATCTTTTTAAGTACCCGATTCAATTTATTCAATATATTAAAATCAAATGTTTCAAGAAATGGCATCGTATTGAGAAACTAAGTCATTATTCTGAGAAAACTGGTTATTTTTGGTACATTTTGGTAAACCAGGTCATTGTTTTGGGAAACAGTGCATTTGTTTTTAAATTCAATCAAATCTTTAAGGAACATTTATTTAAGAAACTAAATCATTTTGAGGAACACAGTATGAAAAGGTTTTAAATTATGTAGAATAGGAACAAAGTTCAGAGAGCAAATTTACTTCTTTTGAGAAAGTGATTATTTTTTTAGTGTTTTTTGGGGGCAACAAATGTATTTTTATTTGCAAAGTTTGGTCACATTCATTTCAGTAAGAGGAAAAGAAATGTAGAGCTATTTCCCTAGATTGTCTGATTCTCTGGTAATGATCCTAAAGCCACTAACTGACTCCATCCAGCTCCTAAACGGCTTCAAAACAATGAGGTTTGCAGACAAAATAACAAGCTTTCATGCACGTTGATAAAATTTCTGCTAAGACATTAAAACATGTAAAAACAGTAGAAAAATAAAGTTATTATTACTTTGATACACCAAAATAACTCACTAGATAACAGAATTTACAACAACAGCACATCAATGAGATAAATGCACCATTGAGACGGCTTATTTTCACATTTTTGGTATAAAGCAGTTAATCCAGTTAGCATTTTTTTAGGGGGAGGGTTAGCTATGATAACAAATGTAAACTGTGAGACAGAGCAGCACAAAATCCATCAGAAACTGAAAACTTTGCCTCCAGTTAGTGAAGTTTTTACAGTTTTCATTTGAAATGGGGGCCAAATGGCAGTAAACAACAAGTTTTACAGAGAACATTTAATTCTAATATTGATATGTTCCTTGTTGGGAGTCTACTAAAACAACTTCAGAAACAGAAATGCCAACCAGCCACTGAGAAACCATCAGCCATCAGAATGAGGACGAAGATTTATGTTTTCTAAAATGAGATGTTATGAAAAGTATTCAAATTTCTACTAATCAATATTGTTTTTTAACAAAAACCAGGAAAAAAATCAGGAGATATATGAAGTGAAAACAAGAAACATGGTCCCTGGAATGTCTTCATGTTTAAAGTATATTCCTCATTTGTTTATAATCTGTTTTTTCCTCTAAAGCTGCTGTTAAATGTTTTTTTAAAAAGTAAAACAGCATTCTCCTGATTCAGATAAAAACATCTAGCCTTTTGAAGCTAATCTACATAAAATCTCATCTATTTTTTGTCATTATTGAAAATTGTGACTGTTTTCTGTTACCATGTAAATTGTGTTATCACATTTTTATGCACACTGAATTATGAAAGACGTCTAATTACTCTTTGGTTCATCTTCTACCACAGTTTTGTTTCTCCAAAGGCTATACTGCCACTTTATCTAATAATGGGGACTAATCGATGAGCACAATATGGCTTTTTTTAACACAGGATGTTGTGTCTAAGGTCATGAAGTCTCTAAATAGTCTCCTTTGAACACAGATCAAACATTAGCGTTAGCTTTCAAAAACTCAGGCTCCTATTATTGTTGAATTTCTCCCACTGGCTTCACTTCTTTAACAGTACAAAAGTAAATCATTTACAAGCTTTGCTCAGGAGCAAGATATTAGATTTATAGCTGTTAAACTAAATATTGCATCACCATAGCGTGCCATCTAGAGCTATTTATTCATATTAAAGCGTATAGTTAACACTCAACTACTAAGCTTAAATAGCCTCTAATAGATTTGCTTTAATACAAGAACCAACTTTACAGGAACGAATGATAAGCTGGTCTGGAGGAGTCAGCCCCGTTTGCTAGCTCATCTCCACAATAAAGTGGATTCACCGACATAAAACCCTACATCTGGATCAAACCTCTCATAAAAATAAATGTTACTTTCAGGTAAATGGGGGGGAAAGCCTTTAGAATTCATGCGAGAGTCTGAAAAAGAAAAGAAAACTGGAAGGAAAGGTTGCCAAAACAAGAGCGTTGTCAGTGGAAGAGATGAGAAAACTCCTTCATTCAGAAGGGTTAATAAATAGTTAATAATCAATAAAGGGTTGAGGTTAATAAATAGTGAATAATTCAGGTCAGAGTACGAAATGAGATGAGGGGAAATGGGATTTTCAACAAACTTAAACATGGGCTCTCATCTATAGGAAACTTAATTTAGTATGTCGTTTAGAGAAAGTTTATTTGACTAAATATCTCATTTCAAATGTCCAAATCCAGGAAGTCCAGCTGTTAAACTGAGTTATTATTTAGATTTATTCACTTTATTCCAGGAGTTGGGACGTGTTCATTTTTTTGCTAAAAGCAAAATATTAGAAGGGAAAAAGAAATCTGAGGCCTGTCAACCTTCTGTCCAGAGTTTTGTTCATCTTGCTGACAAATCTTTGGATGTATTGAGATCATTCACATGTAATTACTGATGTTCAGAGTGAATTATTTGGGGATATTAGTGGGATTTCGGAGAAACCAGTTTCCGAAAACATCCTTAGATATGAAACCTGCAGGCTAACATGATCATTCTTGGATTTTATGGAGGGAAAAGTGAATTTCAGAGGTTGCAAACAGGGCTGCATGTGTTGGACAAACAGCAGTTTTACCAACCAGTTAACAGTCATTTTCCAGCAGCTATCGGATAAAAACATCACATTACAAAAATCCTTTAAAAGTCCTTAGAAGACGCAACGAACATTATTCAACGATGTACCATCGACTGTGGTCAAACTACTTCTACGTGTCCACAACAGAGGAGTTTTGTCCGGTCACAGAAGTGAAGTGGCCCCGAGTCCCAGCGCTCGCCAGCCACCCACGAAGAAGAAAAAGAGGCCGAGAAAGGAAGAAGAAAAAGAGGTACATTCCATTTCCGGGAATTTACCTTCCCTCCTTCCTTCTGCTGATGGATCCTTAATGGCCCTCAGAGGCCGAGGATTTCGGGTCCTACCGGCTAAGGGCGCCGAACTCGCCCCCGAACGGGCGCCAGGTGAGGCCTCCAGCATGGAGAATGCTCATTGGCCAGTTTCTGAAGAGAGCCGGGCCTCGTAGAGGCTCAAGGCATGGTGGACAAATTCATACTGCTCACCTGTCTGGATCATACCGCCTCTGCATGGAGAAAGGAGCCACGTCAGTCAAGTCAAAGCTACCTCAGAGGCTACAAAGACCCACAAAAAAAATAATTCAAACATAGACATATATACATAGACACCGCGTTGAAAAAATGAAAAAAAATATATAAATAAAATGAAAATAAAATGAAAATAAATAAATAAGACTTAAATAAAAATACATCTAAAATATTCAAAAATAATCAGAAAAAAATCATAAAAATTCTAAATAAAAACATGTATTAAAAAAATTGAAAAAAGGATACATCCGCGCGTCCGCCATCTTTGATGTGGCAGAATTAAACTAATAAAAGAAAACGGACTGAATTCCATAAAGCGCCTTTCTACAAAGTATTCACCCATTCACACACACAGTAATACATTTGGGAAGCAAAGAGGCACCAAAAAAAAACTTATGTAACTTTTAAAGTGATGATTATAAATGTTTCCTCCTGTTTCCTTAGGATATAAGGAAGGAAGATATAAGGAAGGATATTTCATATTTTATATATATTTTCCTATGACTTCGACATTTTATTTTAATTTATTTTTTTTTTACTTCCAGTGTTGAGTCGAATATTTGATCAAATTTCACTTCGAATGTTGGAAAATTAATATTTTCAGGCAATATAATAGAGGTTTATTCCAGTGCAAGTCGTGTGGTCTATGTAGCTTAGCGTTTCATTTTTTTTTTTAAGTCTGCTATAGGACAAAGAATATTAATAATAACAGAGGTTCTGCTGTATTTCAGATCATGACTCAGCTCTTTTAGTTTCTATGACTTTGAAGTTTTATTTTAATTTGATTTTTTTACCTTGGGTTTGGATATTTGATTGTAATATTCGAAAATTAAGCATTTTAACATATTAATGTTAATATAGCACTAATAGCATTAATAGCATATACTTATTAACTAATAGCTAATAGCATATAACTAATAGCATATAGCATTAATGTTAATATAGCATTGACATATTCATATTAAGAATATTAATATTCGAAATATTCAAATATTTGATCGAATTTAACTTAATTATGAAATTAAGTTTTTATTCAAATTAATACTAATCATATTAAAATGAATATTTTTAGGCATCGTAACAGAGGTTCTCACCTGTCGGCTCTCAGCTGGCAGGTGATGCCCAGCACATCCACCACCTCCTCCCCCTGCAGCTGCCGGCAGCCGATCGTCGTGGCGATGAAGCACCCCGTCCGGCCGATCCCCGCACTGCGAGCAGAGGATTGTGGGTAACGGAGTTCTCGCTTACAGAGACGGAGAACCGGAGCCCCTTTGGCAGGGATGGGGATCGTTAATATTTATTGATATCGATACCTTTAGCGATACTCCTAATCGATCCGAGTCTTTATCGATACCACTATCGATACTTTTCTGTTATTTGGTGGAAAGACGATGCGACAATATTTAGCAAATAAATAATTGTATTTTAAATTAAATGTAATTTTTAATAAATGTTGGCATCAGTAGTTTAATTATATATTCTAAAATAATTAGAGCAATATACAACTGTATTACTCATGTTTCTCGCCAAAAACTCAATTTCCCTTTTCTT